GTACTTACATTGATCTCTCGTCAAACTGTTTTCTCATTGTAATTAAATAGGACCTGTACCTACCTGTACTCTGTAAAAGATTTCATCTGATGTGTTGCCGATTTCATATAATATTATTTCTTCAAGGGGTTATGTTTATTTCGCAAATAAATACCGGGTGACCAGTTATATTCTGACTCATTTCAAATGCTCATATCTCTGAAATCATTCAAGTTATCGTTGTGCGGTTTGGACTAGTCTATTTTGATGTTTTTCAAGTTATTTTGACGTGTTCATTTTCTCACTTGAACTTCCGGTTCTACAGGAAACAAACGAGCAATAATCCAGGTATATGGCAACTGTTTTTATTTCATTGAATCACCCTGTATATTTTTGCACATTCAGAAGGTCTGGTATTTTCTCTATCTAACAATGTATTACAAGTTATGTTCTCCTAGAAAACTATCAGAGTTATAACTCTCTGAAACAACTACTGCTTGTGGAATGGTTTGATGAAATTATGCAATGTTATCAAAGTTGCCATATACCTGATTAATGGCTTGTTTGTTTCCGGTAGAACCGGAAGTTCAGGTGATAAGGTGAAGCAGTCAAAAAACTTGAAGAATATCAAAATAGAGAAGTCCAAACCGCACAACGATAATTTCAATAGTTTCAGAGATATGAGCAGTTGGAATGGGTCAGAATATAACTGGTCACCTGGTATTAGCGAACGGCTGTTTAGACTGTCACGTCTTATTCTTCCCGATTTATATTTGTTCGGCACATCTGTGACCTAGTCGTAAAAAGCGTAAAACCTAATTATATATTGTCAGTAATGGACTTAGCAAGCAAGGTCTTCAAGGCAAAGCACTACTCACACCATACTAGGCACCTGTCACGGTTTCCGAAGTGTCCTGTGAGCGAGCAGCCTGATGTAAATAGGATTTTTGAAACGTCAGAGTACCTCCGGGAAGAACGACGATTCTCTTTCCCTGTCTCTCTCTCTCTCTTTCTAGGGGCAATTTTTCTGAAATGCCACGAAAATTTCGTGCTGTTGAACTTTTACACAAAATGATAAAAATTTTGGTGATGAAGGCCGATTAACACCTCAAGGCAAGTATTAAAAACTTCTGCAATAAAGTGCACTGAAATTTATATATCTAACAATAACAAAATACATCGAAAAACACATGCATCATGATGATCTCTTTTCAGGCCTTCATGATATAGGTACCGCCATTTCAGTATAGTCGTGTCGTTGTAATACACGACGCCATTATGATGGTTAACAAGGTTTAAAATCATTGTGATTTCAACCACAATTGCTACTGGTGCAACACTATGTTTATTTTTTGTTCATGTTCCTGAAAATTATTTTCCTCGGCCCATGCTGATATGCTTTAGTACCTGTCACTGAGAACAGTTCCTCCGAATTTGGTATTTTCGTAATGGATGCTGAGATCCGTTTGGTAAAAGCTACGTTACCCTTATAGGGATGACCTACTGTAAGTAGACTTTTCACACAATTTTGCCAACCTGATGAGAAGATGGACTGCACTGAATTTAATACTATTACTTATTACTGTCTGCCATTATATACCCTCTCCTTTGTGAGAAAGGGAGTATCAGCGCTGATAGTCCATCTCATAGGACTTGGTTATATTTTCCATAATTTATATCACACCTGCGGACCATTTATACAGTTCTTAATGTTTCCATTTGAAGCAACAGTGAGGCTAAGTTTAAGATTTAAGTACTGCTTATCCTAGTATCTATTTGTACTAACGAATTCTGACTAATACAGTTTCGTATACTATTGAATCATAAGAGATAACAGAACTGTTGCGACTATTCATAAGATTATATACTAACAGATTATTCACTCTCAGTAATTTCTCAAGCTAAAGATATTTTTGTTTTGTCTCATCCTATTCCTTGATTGAGAAAAATAAGACCTCACTTCTGATGAATCCACGACCATCTCTACCACTAAAGAGCAGCCGTGTAGTGAGGCCATAATTTCATTTATTGTTGAAATTACGTCACAGTATAACGAATGCGGAGCTAAAGTCTATCCTATGTGGAGCCAATGTCTAGACAATATCATGTGCTAGTGGGAATCGATTTCAATTTTATTTTCAGCATTAGATTTGGGTATCGAAGAATGCATATTTAGAGTTCGATAATATTGGGGTCTGAGCTGTTTTTTGATGATATTTTCATATTGATAAAGATAAGTAATGATACTAATGATATAAATAACACATCCTACAACTATATATATTACTCGTGAATGCATCAGATATCGAAACAATTGCATGATGTCCTCTCTCATAATATGCTATCTCGACTTTTCACAGCTATTTTTAGTTTTTCGTTCCTTTTAACTGTTTTGACCCTAAACAACTTGAAACTGCATTGACACATACTTTTTCATATGGTTTCTCTGTTGAGAATGCAACAATTCATTCCTGAAGAAATATCTTCATGAATAGTTACTATATTATAATCAATAATTGAATATCGTTGGAAATTCTCCTATTTGGGAAGGAAATACCATAGCGTGAACTACCATGCTCGTTATATATCATCGCCAGCTAGGGTGGCTGCAACAGCTTGTTTACTACATCCTACCTATAAACACATCAATGCGGCAATTCTGGATCATATTCGCTAGACTGATCGCTTTCTGCATCGCTTGTAATTGCAACTAGTCATATTCGACAATCCATAACACACCACTGACATCAATAATTGCTTATTAGCTGTTGAAATGTGTTTGATTGTGGTTATTCGGGATCGGTGCGACCAGAGTTTTGTTATCCGGTATGATAATAGTATGAAAAGTAGGCACTTATACGTAATCTTTTCTGAGTGCTCTGACTAAATAGGGAATCTGGAGTTTATAATATTTCGAAAACGGGAAACTTTTCCGGTAATAATATTTCCACATGAGGGATTTATGGAAGAGTTCGTGTGATCTAAAGATGCTTGAAAAACTTCATTTCAGTTGATGAAACAGCGTTGGTGTTGTCTTTGCTGATGATTAGCTGCCGATGCTATTGTAGACAGGGTTGAGTTTAGTATACGTATAAAATTAGGACAGAGTCAAATATAATAATAATATTTTTGACACCTATTCACAAGGTTTCAATTTTTATGAGTAGAAGATGTTGTTGATGTATAGATTCTTTCTCAGGCAGTTTAATGAAAGAATTCATGAACTATAGTAAGGCATACAAAAGCTCAGGCACAATCTCGAAAATTATAAATAAAAAATAATAAAATATTCACCTCCTATCCCTATCCCTAGGTACGCACGATGTTCTCCGAACAGCATAGGGATATCCTTTCGTGCGCTCCAAGAAATAAAAGATAATAAATGGTTTTTTTTTGTGACGGAAAAAAAGTTCGAAATTTCATTTCTGTTGACAGGTTATAAAATGTAGTACTTCTTTCTCGGATATATATCACAAATATGTACACTGTTTTTGGCTTTTGTTGTGCTATAGTTTCCAAAAATAAGCCAATAACTCCGTCCCCGAGAACTGCAAGTCCTATCTACCATTCGACTTCGCGGTTGCGTAAAATACTAAACAATAACTAAATTCACAATTTCGGAAGATCATATCACAGAATTATATTATATAAGTGGTTCGGATTCCACTATAAGCTGTAGGTCCCGCTCTTCCTAACCCCGCAAAAGTTTCGACTTCTGGGGAGTTGGTTCCCAACTTTGAAGTAGCGATATACAAATTTTACAAAATTATACTGACAGATATTTGATTACTTCAAAAGAATGATAAAGATGCCTGCAATATGAAACGCCTGCAACGCAGGTGTCATTCCTGTTAAACACTTCAAATTTCACGTCGATAATTTCCTGATTTCAATATAATGTGATATCTTCTCAATATTGATTCGTTGTTTTTCCTGTCATAGGAAGAAGTTGTGGACAAAATATTAAAATTTACCTCATAGTCGTGTCGGGAGACACCTGGAGCTAAAATCAACGACTGTTTTCCCTTGTATAATAAATAACTATTGTTGAACTCACTGTTCTCGAGCTAATAATTATTTACATTCGCAGAAATGCTGCTTTGATGTGAATGTTTTTTCGAAACCCTTCATAGAAATCATAGGAAAGTTCACTTATGGGTGTTTGATACCATGACAATATTATGAGGTCAGTTTTTCTGTAAAAAAAATCCTAATGATATTTCATAAAAAAATTATCCGTTTTCATTTCAATAAAATGGCACGACACTGTCCAAAGTGATGTTCATCTCTGAAAAATTAATCGTATTGGTGGTTATTCACACTGGTCCAAATTTGGTAAGAATCGCAAGCCTAATGGCTACGATATACAGGAGCATCCGTTTGAAGTGAACAGAACTGAACAGAAGCAATGCTATCGTCTCCGTTCAGAAGAATGCAAACGGATTCATTGATTTTTTTCTTTCGGTTGTTATCTCTTGTTCATAATTCTGAATTTTGAACTACCCTGTATCCGTCCAAATTAAATATCAGTAGATAGTAAATCAAAAGTTAAGATAGGGACATGTATGCCGTTTTGACCAATAATGAATAGTTTCGACCCAAAAAAATCCTAAAGTTGAAATATCTCGATTTTGCACACCCTTTATCTCTGTAATCATCCTTGCTAGACCCAAGTGTGATGCATTGATGAAATCAGCTCACAAAGAAGAATCCGAAAATGTAATAAAATACAGGTGTCCTATAATAAAAAGTATAACTTTCATACGCCTCGCATATTTGAGTCACCCTGTATACGTAAAGTAAATTGGAAATATGCTTCTCATGAGCCTAGACCATCACAAAAATTTTTATTCATCTATGTCGAACAGCGAAGTCGTTATCTCACTTTCCCATTTCAATGACTCACCTTGAGAACCGCAAGGTTCTATATATCTCCGAAGATAACTGAGATATCGATATCACGCAAAAGCATCGAAAACTGGACGCACTGTACAGTTTCCTAAATATGTAATTCTTTGCAGAGCCGTAGTCGAGGTGCTCCTTCGGGCAGGTTTCAGCGTCAACATGCGGACGAAAGCAGGGACGGCCTTGCACGAGGCCGCCCTATGCGGTAAAGTCGATGTGGTCAGGACCCTGCTGGAGCACGGGGCCAACACGTCCATCAGGAACGTGAAAAACTTCACGGTGATGGATCTGTTGAACCAGTTCAATACTGCGCCGGCGTCTCAGGAGATCATCAACATATTGAAGCGTGAGTGGGAAATTGAGTCACATGTCGAATATCCAGGGCCGGATTCATATCTCCTTGCCAACTCTCTCAGACTCAATTCATTTCTTGATGAATTTAATAGAAATAAACGAATCGTTGGTTTGTTGTTTGTTTTGGATTAACAGTTGTTACTAGAGATCAAAATAAGAAGATAATATATTTGTTGACGAATGTTACTCATCGAAAACCTCTTTGACAATACTAGGGTATCAAACATTGGAGTTAACTTTTCAAATATCACAATTCAATAACAGTTGAAGATTGTATCGCATTCCAGATAGAAATAATTGGATTTTCGAAAGGTGATATAAATTTTGTATAACATATAATAATAATAATGATATGCCTTTATTCATACGATTGATATGGCAATAACAATAAAAAAAAAGAAGTCCTTCATAAACTAATAACATGATCATATGAAAGGGCGGAATTCAGTTACCCATATCCAAAGACACTGGTATCTGCTCTTCCATATGTATGTCTATGGTGGATAAGTTATTTCGCTTCATGTATTAAAAATTTCCGGCTGAATGATTATAATGTATTTCTTGATATAGGTCATAGAAGAGGATTACCACTAGTAGACAGTGACGGAGAGAGTATTAGTCATCCTTTTCCAACTGTGCCAAATACAGATTCCGATTTAGGTGAGCTGCCGAAATTTTAGTTAATCATCAGGGCGATATTCAGGGTGACGGGAAATTATAGTAGAAAAAGAATTTGTTTCCGAAACTTTATTATAACTTCAGAATGTACCTCTTTTGATGTGATGGGTACTCAACTTGAATTATCAATAAAAATTCATATAGTTATTTCTATTACAGCGCTAAAGGTAAACGTATATATAGGTTTCGTACATACCTGGTGGAGATAAATTTGATGTTCTCTTCGTGTCCATTGAAATACTGCTATACATTTATGAAGGTATACGCTCTCAAGTTAGTCTCACATGATGACAAACGACACGCAACTCTTATAAAACTGAAAACGTAATACGTGAACAGAAGTGTTCTCTTTCTATTGGCATATGGGGGGGGGGGGTATGTCCTCGCTATCCCTAACGTAGGCACGCCACTGATCTGATGGGTAGAAACTGCAAGAACACTGAACATGGACCAAAGGACACCTCACCATTAACATTGAAATCTTGTCTACGATGGAATATTGTGAAAATCTTGGATTAGATAGTTTGAATCATGCTGAATGAGGAATGTGCGTTGGTTCAAGGTCCGTTATGCCCGTTAAAAAAAATTATCAGCTCTTGAAGCCAATAGGTTGTGAATGTATATGTGTGTGTCAAAATTGAACCATAAGAAATCTGATTTCTGTTGAATGTTTGGGTACATCGATGGGCGCGGCTGCATGCCCATCAGTTACCTACCACGAACTATTTTTAGAAAATGAGGAAATTTCAATTTTTGCGTGAGACTGTTTTTGACATGTTTGAGTTGGATGTGCTGACATTTTCAAAAAGAGTGATTCAACTCCACAAGAAGTTATCACCAACGGAATTCGCATCCTTCTCTCTATGTATGGAGCTTCTGAAAAAACAACGTGCTTAGATAAATTTCGATATGCATGTTTCGTTGAGAATACTCGAAATAAAAAACAAGTGCAGTTAGCTAGTCTACCTCCAACCTCAGCGGCTGCTCATCAACATCTTTTTCGGGTATATTACCAAGTTCAAGTGTGGTTTGGTTATCAGCTAGACCCAAAATACTGAGGGTTGGAAATTGGTCGACAATACATTGGAACCAGTTTTTGTAACTGTAAAAAGGGATGTAGTATCTTGTTCTGTAGCATGTTCAAATTGTCAAGACCGGTCGTGCTCCAATGTTGAATCACCAACAATTGAGGATTCATTTGATACAAACGAAGAGACATGCGATGTGTCAGTATTGGGCCAATTTACTTGCACCCAGGATGAAAAAGAAGGAGAACAAGGAGATGAAGAAGAACGAGAAGAACGGGAAGAGGAAGCAGAAGTAAAAGATAATGATGAATCAGATGAATAAATCTCTTTTTTTTTAATTTACAACGCTTTCATCACTTTGATCATTCTCAACCCTTGCCAATATATTCAATGATCAAATCGAACAAGATCACAACAGATTTGTGGAATAGGCCTACCGGGAAAAACCGGCGCTAAGTACACTACCTCAAAGGTGTCATGGAAACGTGTGCATGTGACGATAAAAACTCTCTGATCTTTTCGAATCGTTATATCTCAAAAACAATGGCTCTAAGTAAAAAAGCAATTGGACATATTTTATAGACAATTTAATTCATGTATGAAAAATTCCACAAGCCACGTGATTTTGTCATTATGACAGCAAAAAAAGTTTTGCAGCGAAAATTACCGAACCTAACTTTTGAAAGCACGATAACCAGCCATAAGCAAATGTTCGATGAATTAAATTGTCTTACCGAATTACACTCTGGCTTTTTTTATAGTCGAAGTAACTTGGCATTTATAATTCGAATTTTGTTGCCATTAGGTAATTCATTTAAAAAAACTGCCAGAAAAAATTTATCGAGCTACGGACTACGGTAATTTTTTCAGAGGCAGTTTTTTCGTCAAATTGCCAGGCAACAAAATTCTTATTGATACATGTCAAGTTCGTCTCCGACAAAAAAAGCTAGAGTGTAATTATTATAAGTGATAATTATCTGATGTACAATTTTTTTCTCTGCTAATTTCATGATTAAACTCACCATTTTGCTGAAAATCGCGAAAAACCTGTTTTTGTGACCTTTGACTCCGAGTTAAACTTTTTCCAGGTGTCCAGGATCGATAATGACTTTTTAGATTTCATTTATTATGGTGTGAACAATCCTACCAATTTTCAGCTTGCTGCTAATTTTTGTAACATCACTAGTATTTTCGGTGTAACTTGACCGGATTACTATTTCTTTGCTCACACCATTATAGGTAGTCCGTACGAGAACGTGAGACCATCATCCAAGAACGCGAGGTCGGTGACCACTGACCCTTCTCCCGGAACTTCCCCGCAAAGATGGGATTACATGAGGCACGCTCGTCCTCCAGAAGCCTTCGACGACAGGAGGGTTTCCGGAGTTTCTGGAATTTCAATGTAAGGATTTCGGGAGTTTTGTGGTAGCGCTCGAGAATATTCACGATTCGGTGTTGGATATTTTGTTCAGTTGTTCAGTCACATCATAGATCACGCGAGAGCTATTTTCACATTCATCAAGGGAGTCTTAAAGGGTCGACCAGTACAGTGTGTCCAGTTCTCGATGCTTTTGTGTGATATTTCTCTCGAGATAAAATCTTGCGGTTTTCGCGGTCCAGTGCCACTTTTTCGTGAAACTCAAGATGGCCTCTTCAGATTTTATATAACTGTTTGCGCTTATGAGATACAGAGCGATTTTTGAAATTTATAGTTCCTGGACGAAGTTTTTCAGCAAAAATTTCAAATTGAAATCTAAGCCCATAGAGAATTTCACGCATAATCCAGTGGCACACTCAATTTTTTTTTGTCGCGGTATGATTTTGGAGATACGACTCAAAAACTTATGGGTTTTCAAATGGAACACCCTGTGTTTTATAACCTTATAAAATTCCTAATGCTTTTCTTTTCAAAATGATATATAATTTATGGATCTAAAATTTTCAAAAATGCTGCAAAATCATTAAAACATTGAATTTCAATTCACCAGATCAAATATTCACAAAAACAATCGAATTTTTGAATTATTTTATAACTTGTTCATTGAATTGTTCAAATTGATGTCCATTTTCCATAACACAAAATTGACAAAGTTTCTCAATACGTCTTGAAGAACTTCGTGCAACAATTGACAGAGGCAGTTGTCCAGGAATTACAAAGACATCCTTTAATGATTTTGAATGCATTAATTAAGACCTATTGAGGAAGTGTGTGAGGGAGAATTGACATCAAATCTGATTGATTCAATGAATAAGTTACTGAATAATTTCGAAATTCAATCGTCTTAGTGGATATTTATTTTAATCAGGTGATGCTTATTCTATATTAAGAACTTTTTATCACTATTTATTTGTTGTGTTATCTTAGTTAACTAGTGTTGGAATTGTTTGTGTCATTGTCATGGAAAAATCAAATGAAATATTACTACAATCAGAACTCTTTCAAAATAAAAAAAATGATTTTGGAGCATTTTTGAAAATTTTATATTCATACCTCACTCATATTTCATTCAGATCGGAGAAACATGAGGAATTTGATGAGCTTATAGAATACAGGGTGTTCCATTTGAAAAATCATAAGTTTGAGTCGTATCTCCAAAACCATACCCGGAAAAAAAAAATTGAGTGCGCCACTGGACTTTGCGCGAAATTCTCGGTGGGATAAGACTTCAGCTAGACATTTTTGCTGAGGAACTTCGTAGAAATAGAAGGGGTCCAAAAAGTATAAATTTTCAAATTCGCCCCGTATCTCATAGACGCAAAAATGCAAAATCTGATAGAGTCATCTTGAATTTCACAAAAAAGTGGCACAGGACTGCGAAACCCTCAAGGCTCTATCTCAAAAGATAACTGAGATATCACGCAAAAGCATCGAAAACTGGACACCTTGTACATAATATTTTCAAGAAATACCCCGACGTGGTTTTTGTTCGTGATAGAATCATCATATCTTATGATTATGAGTACGTGTTTCCATTATCATAGAATCGGCATCTTTCAAAAACGATAGCTTTCGAAGACGTGTACACTAATACCGAAAAGAACCAAAAGGCATCTATTTCTCAAAAACCAATAATAATTGACACGGCAAATTTCACCAACTAATTGTTAAAATTTGAAATCTCGTAATATAGACAAATCGAAATCTTACCAAAGGAGCATGATACACTGTGTCGTCACAAAGCAGTTCTTTCTATAGGCGAGACAATGAAGCAAGGAGAGTGGAGAGCATTATACAGATAATAAAGACCTACTGATATTGCAAATGAATGTGAACGCCGTCGTACTCATTGATGGTGCTAGCCTCTCTAGCTGTACTCTCCATATTATTCCCTGATAGCTGCAATGCATGATGAAATCCATCCTCTCCCCGTCTGAACATATATTTTCAGATATGGAGACACGGAATGACAGTTTTTGTCATGTCATGGGCTCGCTTATACTGGCCCACTAAAGTATAAGAACGTGTTTCGAGTCATAGGGGTGAAAAGCTTAGACAAGTGCTATTATTCTGACTTACCATCAGAATATGAGCTACAAAGGCTACCCTGACCAATGAGATACAAAGGCTGACCAATGAGGAGGATAATCCGTCACACAAAATATAAAAATATACAAAGTGAGGTTTTTTATCCAACAGGGTATATATCTCACCAAAATGAGTTGTTTGGCTTGATGCTTCATTTCATTCCTAAAGTTTTTTGGTTCACTTTGAAACGATAATTAATTGGTTGAAAATGTAAAATGAGATTTTTGATTGGTGTTTCTGATGAAATAATGCAACTGTAGTGTATCTAATGCTGGACTTATACCGACTTGTTTGCGTTTTTTCTTTTGAGAAAATGAAAACAAAATATTTCATAGTTCTTCAAACCATTAAATACACGTACCTCCGTTATCTTATAGTTATTTATGTAATAAGGATCATAAAGACGATCATTATGGTACAAGTCGTGAATGTTATCGGGCGAGGCGTAGCCGAGTCCGATAACACGGCGTGTGCCATAATGATTGTTTATCTGATGGCATGTCATAATGACAACGTTATGTCACTCAATTTTGATGACATAAGGAAGCTCATTATGGGACTAAGTACCATAATGAATTCATTATGGGACTAAGTACCATAATGAATTCATTATGGTACTAAGTACCATAATGAAATTCTATAAGGAAAACATGTAATGGTTTGATCAAAAAAGTTTATTCAAAATGCATAACTACGTACAAAACTATATTTATTATAAATGGTGAAAGAACAATTACTACAATTTGTGATATTAATATAATGGCAAAGCACAGCTCACTCACCTACTAATATTTGAAACTACACAGTACTTACTCCTTTAAAAATAGTTGTCATTGTGACATGTCGAAAATGCAGTTTTTAATTTTTCGAAAATGTATTGATATAAATACCATCAGATAAAATTTTGTATGTAATACGAATCATAAAATATTTTATGTGAGCAAGTTTTCGCCAAACAACTTATTTTGGTGAGATATATATCCTGTTGAAAAAACATTCACTTTCAGATTCATCTTTTATAAACCAGATCTTTCGATCTGAATGTGCACATAATGAGTACTCATTTTCAACTGCCTGCCTCGATATTAATGTTCTCCACAAGCTCATACCGTCTCTTCAACGTATAACCCATCAAATTCTACCTGCCATGGTTTTGAGTACGCAGAGACTGTACTGGGTGTATCTGGGTGTAAAAAAGTACTGTAAAATAGCGTTACATAATATAAAATACAATGGACTGGCGACGTTTCAGCACCGTAACGGTAATATCCTGATGTAATGCCAAATCGCACTGATGTTTTATTGGAACCCACACAATTTTGTGAATATCTAGTGGATATTCGATGAAACATTTGAATATTCAGTTTATTATCTGCACTCAAGTATTCAGTATGAGTGGAATATATTTGAATTTTGAGTCAAGGTTGTATAGGGTGAGTTCTATTCAAAACCCACGGCACTTTTTAACCGCACGCACCGCAAGGTCGTGGGTTCGATTCCCAACACGAGCAAGGAACTTTGTTCAATATTTTATTAACGAATTAAATATTGTAAAGTTTCGGAGCATCGGCTGGGGATAGTCCTGCACGATTCGCTGTTGCGTTCCAATTAACAGTGCTGCTTCTAAAGTGGTGCATGGAGTTAGTAACAAAGCCTACACAGAATATGCAGAAAGATATGATGATGTGGTTGTGAGCATCAGATAAGAAGTAGGACGGTGTATGTAGGTGGGTGTGGAAAACTACCAGCTGAGCGTGAGAGCGGGCCAGCTGCTTAATAGACCTCGGTCTCGGAGGTTAACGAGGATAGTTAGCAGGCCTGCCACTGCGCATATGGTAGTGAGTACATTACTAGCCTACAAAACACAGCCGAAAAACTCTGAAAGAGAGCTGATGGGCGGTGCCTGAAAAGGATGTTAGCCAGCTTTCTTGAGCGAACCACATCAGTCATTGAAAACACTTGGGGTTTGCAAAAAGAACCCATTAGGGACTAGTTGCTGACGTGGAAACGTCCCCCACCAGTACCAGTACCAGTAACCGTTCCAGTTGCTTGCGTCGGCTAACTTATTCCACCACTCCCTTTTATATATCGTGTTGAGTGTACTCAGTTCACGCAGTTTCACGCCTTGACGGTAAAAATCATGGCAAAATCAATGAAAATCGCTCAAACTCAGTACGCAGTGTCACTTTGCGCTTTCACAGGCTCAATAGACCAGGAATTCAACGTATAGAACCACCTTTCATATTGGTCGTCGTGGCCTTCTCGCGGTTCTTATACAGGGTGTTTCAGATTTGAATGTAGATATAGGACACTTCATTGGTTCCAATTCACCCCCAATGGATCTGTCTACCGTCTTCAATAACTGAGATACAGAACGTTATCTTGATTTTGGCAAAATCTTCATCTGGTCATAACTTTTGAACCTCTTTGACAGAATAACTTGTCTGCGGTTCCAGAAATTTTTGAGGGCTCATTTCATACTCTTGTAGGATGTGCAAAAAATCTTGGTGTTCTAACAGTTCATGATCACTAGTATATGATATTATTGGTATTGGGTTGTTACAATTATTCAAAGTGTTCATAATTATGCCTTAACACAAACATGTTACCAATAATATGAAGAATGAAATCCTCAAAAATTTCTGAAATCATTGACAAGTTATTTTGTCAAATGAACAAATCTATTGATAGTTCACCTAATTCAACTCTGATGATGTTGAACTTTGAGGACTATTATTTTTTTGTATTGAAATTGAATTTTGAATCACTAGTTCAAAGAAAATGCTTCGGAATGCAGCTGAATATTTCAAATAATGATTATAAAATATTTGTCACTTTATTCATTTTCTCCCGCTCTTTCCAATTATCAAAACAGATCCACACAAGTTTGCCATACATAGTGTTGTTTTTGAAATAAATGAATTTTCTGTTTCTCCTTAGGACGGACCTGGATTCTGATCTCGATTTTGATTTAGTTTTGATGTGTAATATGAGTGGAATATTTCGACCAAGTATGAATGGATTATTCGAAGTGCGGTTCAAAAATTATGACCAAATGAAGATTTTGCCAAAATCCAGATAATTTAATGTATTTAAGTTATGAAAAACGGTAGACACATCAATGGAGTGTGAAACTGTCGAAGGGTCCTCTAACTGCAAGTATCGTATGTACATTTCAGTCTGAAACACCCTGTATAACTGACGTAATCGAAAACATTTTCATATCATTGTGCACTTTTTGATAAAGGCCCTTGGCACAAAGATAGACCGATATAATACGAACAAATTTGGATGTGGAGTCATCGGCCAACTGCCCCTTGGCGACCGTGGTGGCCATTTTCAAAATGACCGCCAGTGGACACTCGAAAGACATCAGAAGTTAGATAAAGTACGCTGCTGAAGGTTCGTGAATGATTATTGAATGTTTTGAATAAAATAATGTCCTTTCTTCAGTGAAAAATCCATATAGCTCCATTGCAATAAGCTACATTGCAATAAAATATAGAGGAAATTTGTTTGGGGAAATAATTATACGATATCAGGTCTATATAAAGCAAAAGTACTCTGATCTCTCTCTAAAAGATGTTTTCGAACCGGGGTTACGAGATTGATGATTTTACAAATGAAACACCAATTCTGATTTGCTAATAAAATTCGCATTATATTAGTTGTCAGCCTCCCCAATATAAACAGTAAAATGTTGAATGACTCCTAATGGGTCCGGGAAGGAGGTATCAGAAAACCTGTTCCCTATTGAGAAATCACTCACGATGAAGTGATCCCCAGAACAATACAGGCCAGGCCGTATTTGTGAATTATAATTGATAAACCTGAAATGAATAAAATATTGATACATGAGTCGTGTGATGGTATGAAAGATATGGCATTAAAATGAATATAGATATGTTGAACATAAATTCACGTGACAAATGTGACTCTCACACAATGTACTATTTAGTCGTCAAATAATTTAAATCGGAACTAATAGGGGATTCGAGATTGGAGCAACTGAACAAAACTTTTCTTATCTACGAATAACCTGAAAATTCCACTTTTATTTTTACCCTACTCATTTTATTTTGCATGATTTTGACAGCATGAACAACCACATCCCACCACCAACACGAGATATCAATCAAAACGATGACACCTATGTACCCATGTCATACACTGGAATGTAAGGAAGTTTTATTTTTTATGCTTGACATAAAATTAATTAGATATAGTAGTTCTAGCAAAGGATATCTAGCAATCACTGATATAGTGATACAGTTGTCATGAAAGTATTTACAGTGTTTTCCAAATTCAACCTCCACCACTGGTATCGTGTGCATGAAATTCAATTAGTGGAAATCGTATAAAATATAACGAATATATAATATATATTAATACAATTTTTGAAATGAAAAAAAATTCGTCTTTGAATAGTTGCTCGGAAGGAGCACTCTTCATGAGCATTTCAGAAGTATTGTCATGAGCTTAGTTGCTCTTAAACGGCGTATTTGGTTTCTAAATATTCGAAATCAGAACAAGATACTGTGCATCATATTGATGCATTGTTTGTTTCACTTTATGGTTCATTTCTGGCTCAACTAGTAATGAATTCATTTAGGTTCAGTATATGATCTTTGAATGGTACAAATATATCCTGAATTGGCTCTTAACTCTCTGATGACTAGATATTTTCGATTTTATTTTGTTTGCATTGAATGACAAATGCTATTTTGGAAGTTCACAAAAAATATGTTCGACGTTCGGCAAAGAAAACATGCATAGATCATATTCATAATGGAATGAGGTTGATGGATGATTAAGCAAATGATATTCAATATATATAATAGGTATACGCAGGGTTTCAATTCGATGAGGAAAAACGCCATTTTGCTATGGAACTACAGGAAATTGAATTCACCATATTCCAGTAGATGTCAGATGGCACTTCTCCTTGTGTGATATCTCAAATGGAAGATCTTATTCAGTATTATCAACTCGTTCAGTGCCCGTTTTGGTTGATACAGCCAGGTATCTCAGTTGTTGTTGAAGATAGAATCTTGCGGTTTTCGAGGTCCTGTGTCACTTTTATGTGAATCTCAAGATGGCCTATATACAGCTTGCCTAACTTATATTCCGTCTGTTGAGTTACACTTTGTGGACACCTTCCATTAATACGAAGTTTCCCAGCAATAATGTCGAAATGAAATCTTATCCCGCAGAATCCAGAATCCATTGGCGCACTCATTTTTTTTTCTGGATATGGTTTTGGAGATACGACTCAAATTTATTATTTTTTCATATAATATATAATACCACAAGTGAAAATATTTTGCCGGAAATATTCGGTGATTGTTACGACAGCTTGTTGCCTAGTAATTTCGTGAATGACATTGTTATCAAAACTACGAGCCGTAGGCGAGTAGTTTTGGATCAATGTTATGAGCGAAATTAGAGCAGCAAGCTGGAGTATGTCAATCGACGAATATTTTTAGGTAAAATAGTATCACGAGTTGTATCCGTATGACTATTTCATGATTGAATGAGACAATATATATATAAGAAATAGGAAACATAATTTAAGTATATTCCAACTCGAACTGCGAAGAAGAACATAATGATAGTAATGAAATACAGAATTTACTTTTCTAGAAATTAACTACCTACTTATAGTTATTCACAAAGTGGAATGTACAATTTTGATAAACAGTATTTTTTTTATTATCTTGGAGATGGTTGCTCTCAAAAGAGTGTATACAATTACTATCCAATTAAAACAAAATAAATTGAATTTATGTGACATGGAATAATAAAAAAAAAAAGATATATCGTCGCCGAGGGCTCGAACCATCGACCTTCGTATCCTCGCGCAGAAAACCTAACAGTTGCGCTACATCAGCTAGTAATTATATCAGTCAGTCACAATAACTTGAGTAATTAATGAAGATTACTTCAAAAAGGAATTTGAATTCTATTATTGTTGTGTCAGACCGTCAACAAATATGCAAACTTTTCAAATTACACATGAAACGTCCAGCCAGAATAAAATTGTCTCGGCTTTCGTACAATATATCTCACTAACGCGAATTATAAGTAAATAAAATAAAACTTAGGTTATTGTCTCAGATTTGAATCCAAAGCAATCTTGACCAGACACGATGTCAAAATTTTATCGCTTATAAACGAGGTTAGTTGGTCACGTGTGGGTCAATTCGGCTTATGTATTGGTAGAGCAAGTTCGATAAAATTTAATAAACAAGAAATATCGCTAAAATACAGAAGAAACCATGAAAATGGTCGATTCTGATTGGTTCTCGAGATCAAGAGAGGAATAGTCAATGAAAAACCTTGTATTTAGCTCATAATTCATGATTCTTAAATTTTCAAAAATGCTCCAGATTAGCTAGAACATTGTATTTCATTAGTGGGCTATGAATTTCTCATATAAAATAGTTACAATTGGAGGAATATTACTTTTTGATCCTTTCATGAAGAGAACAAGAACAAAATTTGACATTTTCATTGACATATCGCACAAGGAGTAGTACCATTTGACGTTTTGAAATTGGGGTGTATTGCACATGAATGGTGGCTAGTACTCTATAACTCTTCAACATTTATGCCGATCGGATAACTTCTTTATTTTGTGTGATATTGGCATTGAAAGTTTTCAATTCGACACCCTGTATGCTTTGTCAACAAAATGACTTCACGCTCAGCCATCTTGAGAACATTTGAGACGACAATATTCGTGTTTGTTCCTCTTTGCTGGAAAATCATATCATGGTGTCGAACATATTTTGAACTACCACATATAATATTTTTTTGCATTTCGCATGTTTGCATGTTTTAGGCGTAACTCGAAACCTTACAGGAGCCTTCCAATTCCCAAACGCACGAGAACTAGACCCTTGCATATCGAGCAGGCTCCTTTGGAGGGTATCATTTTTAATTTCAATGAAAAGCTGGTCATGCGCAAAAGTAGCTCGGCTTCCACGAAATCTGCATCTTCTACGGCTTCCTTCTACTCGGCAATAGACTGCAGTTCTCAATGTGGCTCGCATAGTAACTCTGATTCATCCACACAGTAAGGAACATAATATCCAGAGACCAAATGATATCCTCGACATAATATCCTGTGCGAAAATATCTTGAAGATGTAAAGATCAAACGAACAGTAATGAGAATAACAATATGAGATCGTCGATTTCGAGTGGTCTGATTCAAATTATTCTGAGCTTTTTCAGTCTCTTCGGAAGATTGAATGATTCAAAATGAAGAAAGAATAAATTAACATTGGTATTTTACCCACTATGCAGAGTGTAACATAAGTACGTTGAAATATTCGAGTGACGTTTTTCGAGACAATTTTAGGAAAAAAGTCTATACCTTTTCAACTTCAATTTCGGAATCGGTGAGTTATATTTCGGAAAAAGTAATCTCGATTTCAGAATTGGTTAGTTCGATTTCAGAAATGGTAAACTCAATTTCAGAATCGGTGAGATGAATTTCAGTAAAAGTCCATTCAATTTCAGAAATGGTAAGTTGTATTTCAGAATTATTATTGGTAGGTTCAATTTCAGAAGATGAAATCCTTTTATATGTTCGAAATGTTTTTAATTGCAAAAGAGAAGAATGTTTACAGTGGATGAACGGTGTTTGAGAGCCCTATGTGGAATCAGATTGAACATAATATGGGGTGCCTTCAAGTCAGAAGTGAAGAGCTTCTTGCAAGAGAATCGCCAAAGGGTCATAGCTGGGGATCCGAACAGCTTGCTCAACCAGATAGAATTCAGACTGCGATGTCTTGAGGAATGTGCAGATCATTCAATGAAAATGATAGCACCTCAAATGTGTTTGCATTCTCATAATCATGTGCAACGCTATTATATTCCAGCGATTCGGATGGAAGGCATCTGTGGATTAAATTGAGATTATAATTATGTTATTGAATTGTTTTTGACAAGTTGAATATTGTAAATATGGTTTGTTAATCCCACACACAATTGGAAACATTTCGAACAAATATAAGGATTTTTTTTTCTGAAATTGAACCTACCAATTCTGAAATACAACTTACCATTTCTGAAATTGAATGGACTTTTTCTGAAATTCATCTCACCGATTCTGAAATTGAGTTTACCATTTCTGAAATCGAACTAACCAATTCTGAAATCGAGATTACTTTTTCCGAAATTGAAGTTGAAAAGGTATAGACTTGTGTCCCGAAATGCTTCGTTTCCTAGATACAGGGTGTATAAATCGAATTTTTTTGTTTGCTGTTTGAAAATAACTGTTGCAAATAATAAATTATTTGCATAAAATTTGGTACCCGGGGTTGATTGATGTGTGAAATCATGAAATTGTCTTAATTTTCATGTAACTGGGCGCTGCGTATGTTGTCATTATTTATTTCATATTGCCCTTACATTTTTCACAGTAAATTTTTGATACTTTCATGATGAAACTTCTTTCCACACCTCTTCCAAGTAAAGAAGGTACACTTCGTCAACAACGCTGGAGGTGATTATTTAGGAGATATTTGAAAGTTTCCATATCAAGGCATGTAAGTTAGCTCTTAGGGCGCTGAGTGAAGTTGCTGAGAACATTACAAAAACTGAGTATGTGGTAGGTCTCGTCAAAATACACAATTTTTTCCCATGAAATGTTTATTGAAAATTGATTTGTTTTCGAGATACAGATGGTTGACATTTTCAAAATCATGGTTGGTTTTCTTTGTAATTGAACATATACTTCTCACAAAGAAAGTAGTTCATTTAGAGGAGATGTACCACGTACTTAGTTTTTGTTATGTTCTCAGCAACTTTACTTAGCGCCCTAGGAGCCAAGTAACATGCATCAATATTGAAAATTGCAAAAATTTCGAAAATGGTCACCTTCAGCGTTGCTGTGGAAGTGTACCTTCTTCATTTGGAAAAGGTGTAAGAATAAGATTCTTGCATGAAAAGTACCTGAAGCTTACTGTCAAAAATGTTAGGGTGATTTGAAATAAATAATGACAGCGTACGCGCCCTCAAAAAGTCTCAAAAACCAAATTTCGTGCAAATAACTTACTATTTACGAAAGTTATTTTCGATAAGCGACCAAAAAATGACATTTCAACACCCTGTATCACCGAAACGAAGCATTTCGAGACCCAAGTTTATCTAAACTTTTTCTTAAATTGTCTCAGGAATACGTCACTTGAATATTTCCACGAACCTATATGTTACACCCTATGTATAGGCATTGAAAACGTGATTTTTTTCTGAAATCTTCCGGCTGAGAAATAAACTAGAGTTGATAGTGCTTAGCAACCGTACACCTTGACAGTATGTTATTTGTATACGTGAAATGATTTTGTTCATTGAAAACTATCAGATGTTCCTACTAATATGTTTTCTTCAACAGCAAATAGCAGTCTGATTCATGATTTTTTCACATGGAGGTGTCCCGAAGCCAAACATTTCGAATCTAAAATATCTTTCAATCCCAGGTTCCTACTCATATTTTTTTCTTCCACAGCAAATAGCAGTCTGATTCATGAATTTCACACATAGCGGTATTCTAAAGACAAACATTTCGAATTTAAAATATCTCTCAATCCTTTTCACCGTATCCTGATTCCACTCAACGTCTCTAGCTGGTTCGATGATGGCAAGTGAATTTCTATCTGTTTTTTTAGAACTCCTAGTTCTAGTCATGAACTGCTATCTCGATATTATCCGAATCTTATATAGACTGAATATCTCTGAATCTGGCAAGGGACGTGAGATACAACAGGATATTCAAGAACTCACAGTCGCAAGTCACCAGAAGAATATCTCCAATATATCAATGGCTAAGTGGTTATACCACGTATCATCAAATTTGACAAAATCGTGATTTCTACGGATTTTCGTTTGTTGCTTGGCTACATTGTGCCGAAGCACGTGGTGCTTGAACCAATAGAAATCATTAATTTCACTGTCATAAATATCATAGTATAATACCACGCTTCAACAAAAGAAGTAATACCACGTATCAACCAAAAAAGCAGTCTTGCGTAATCAATATATTGTATGGCTAGTTTTTGAACCACATAGGCGAATCATATAGGAGATTGTTCATTTCTTGAAATAGAATATTTTAAATGAATTCATCACATCAATCATATTTTCATTCTGATTAACGTGTTACGTGTTATTGAAGTTGGATACATTTTATCCAAAACCCGACAGCATAGACATTATTGTTGTATTCTGAAAACATGACAGAACGTTGATACGTGTTATTGCCACTAAGCCATCTATATATATTCTGAATATAATCTTCCGTTAATTCTCCTGATTCAATTGTTTTCGTAGAGCATGGCTCTCGTAAATATCGCGTTTTAATTTCCGCAGGGCTCGTTGGTTATTGATAAGCGACCCCTCGTTCATAGTGTCTTTCTTTTTTCTACCCGATTTATTATTTCTTGCACTTCACTACATTTCTGTGCGATTCTTCTCAACTCTTCCAGCTTACTGATGAAAGGCTGCTATCACCTCCTTTTTCATTTAGAAGCAATTCAAATTTAATTTTCATTCACAATCCTCTACTTATGAGGAATATTATTATAACGTATTCGTATTCTCAGCCTAACAATCCTATCATTAGTTATAGACTTTTTTCAGACAACGGAATGATATCTGTATCGTTTATCTGCAGTGAATTTTGTCGTTGAGAGATATCTTTGTCGCTGGATATTTTCACTAAACCGATTTCTGCTGGGTAACCGATTTTTTCCACTGTTCAGTAAGTTCGGTTTTTGTAGGGAGTCAGACAACAGTCTTTATCAGATCCCCTGCGTACCTAGGCAGTTTATGGATAGCAGCGCCTACTCTGAGGATCTGAACTATCTGAGCGCCAGTAGAGAGTCTGATCAGATCAGCGTTTCTTCTACGGCTTCTAGTTGTGGTTATTATCCTAGGAGACCTGATAGCGGTGGCGTATATGTGCCAATGAATAGTTCGAGAAGTGGGCACAGTCCGGGCTCTAATAGCAAGGTTTCGGTAAGTGATGTTTTTAGTTGCTGTGACAATTGAGTGCATGACAAAATTATAGCAGAAATTTTGATGGAATCGTATAGAGCATTCCAGTGTTTAAAACATCTAGGAATTGGTCCGCGATTGATTTCATTTAATTTTAATGAAATTTGAATACTAAAACAATGTGTTTTGGTTTCAACACTGAAAACAGGCACGCGGCGGACGCATGGATTTGAAAATAAAATAAAACGCAGAATGTTTCTTCAAACACGGCAAATTTGAGTTTACACGGTCTTGTGTCCCCCAAATCCTCCCTCATACTCCGAACATCAAATCCGATTTTAAAATTTCGTGCATTCCCTGAAGCATTGTCACATTCATTTTGGCGACAAATCCTGTGAGATGAGAATGTGCCTTGTCAGAGAAGAAAATGATATCGTCTCGAGGCAATAATGCACTATGCATCGTTGCACTCCAGCGAGTTTTCTGACTTCCAAATCAGGTGGCTCAACCCTCTCGATGATATCTAGGATAGTGAAGATATTCTGAGGCACTATCCTTACCGTGGTGACATTTTTGGTGTCCTCAAATGCGTCATTTCAACTGAGATATGGATATTGAACTTTCAATGGAAGACACGCTGAACACGGACGATCGAGCGGGCATTCGACATACAAGTCTGTACACATTGAACACGTTCTTGAACGGACCATTCGACTATGGAGACTGAAACTACATGGTGAACCTCTCATTCCCCTCTTTTGAGTCGCTCCACTTTCAACATTCTATATAGGACCGTAGTAAGGGAGTAATGACTTCGAATCCATTATGCTGCGCTGTGTGAGTGAGAAAATCACCATGAAACGTTCGGATGTCTCCTGAAATTGGGATAAAAACTCATCTAGGAATGTCCTTATGTATTTTGCTCCATATTCTCTCACGGTTCAACCATCGAGAAAGTTGATGTTCGATGGCTCAACTTTGAAATGATATGACCTCTTATATTGTTGTAACAATGTTCACAGCTTGCGGCTTGTGAGTTCATGTAAGCTGTGGCTCTGGATATTTACTAAAGAAGCCAAGACCTGATATTGTATCGGAACAACTATGAACCAGTTTGCTTGATTGCGAAAGGCAACCTCATCAACAACATTGCGTTGATGCTGCAACAATGAATAACCAGAACGCGCAAAGAGATTCACTACATAAAATTCACTTCTCGACTTTCTTCTACATGGCAGCTCATTGGGGCGGCTGTAATTAGTTTCAAACGTTGAAGTAGTGAGAATAGTGAGATCTAAGATATATCTATAATTGAGTGTGTTCACAAATTCACGGTACAAGAATATCCGTTGCTGCTCCTTCTATTTTGTCTTGCACTCAAATGACATTGAGTTGCTAAACGGAATGATATTTTATTAGGTATTTCATGGTTAATTGCTCAGCACGATCCAAATGACGTTTTGTAAGATATTCATGTGAATAATTTGTATCGACTTCAAAAAGGAGTTGTGTTTTATTTAAGAATAGGTACTCACTCAATCGTATAACTTCGGCCAACTATCAGCTCAAATACGGCAAGTAACTGTATTATCAAGATATTGAATATCTGATTATTTTTCAGCTCTGTTTCCAATTGTGCTCTTATATTCAAGATGTTTCAGAGAATAGATCTAGAGTATAGCGGATTAATGATATTGCGAAATGCTGTTATAATATTGTTGAAAAAATATATTATGAGAGTAGCACAGTTCACAATCAACTCAAGCTCACCGTACGAATGTTAAAGATGAATATGGAATTTGAATTGACACAGTAAATTTTAACATTTTTGTAACAAAGAACATCAATAGAAGGTCCTCAAAACGACATTTTTTGCTGAATATTCTGCCGGAAGATAAATTCGAACGAATCTTCGAGTCTTGGAATATTCAGGAACGAACATACCCAGGCCTGGATTTACCTATTTCAACAGACTAGGCACTTCAACCCCTTCCTCCCACTTTATTCCCCTCACGTCCCACCACTCACCTCAAATTTGATTTCGAACATTTTCAAACAGTTTTGAAATGGATTTCGTAAATGAATAGGCCTAGCACATACATCAGGTCTGACTCATATTTCAATTATGTCAAAAAATTTACATCAGAGGCTTTTTGAGAAGCAAAATCCCCTACCATCTTGTCAAAACTAATATCCTCCGATATATCTGCTTTCATGCTCAGAATTGATATTACAGACAACCTCTCTGCTTCTCGTGAAGGTAACTTGAAGGTTTATTTTCACCACATATATGGTTCATCATTATTTGAGGTCTTGGAATTTTAAAATGATTGAACGATGAGAAATAACTGAACTTGATCTCATAACAAAGAAATCTAGGATGAACAGAGTTGCCCCAATTTTCAGCAGGAGGAATTTCGGCCTAGGGACTAGGCCTCATCAGCCGCTCTCGGTCTGCCGACAACTGGGACAGCTCAACGCTTTCGAAGATGCCGGATACTACACATTACACTTTGAACATGCTACTACTTGTAGTAGCACTCTGTGTAGACGTAAGGATCTTCACGTGTTGATTATAGTTGACAGCGTCATGGTGTGTATGACGTGGCCGTAAGGCCCTACCTTAGAACTAACGCCATTAGATGGCGTTAGCTTGACTAGATCATCATACAGTATCTGGCGTCGACGTAGAAATGTTGCTAAAACAAATGATCAATACATATAAATTTCTATAAAAATCACAAATGAATTATGAAGAGACATTAATTCGAACAAGTTTCATCCTACCTCAAATATGTATTTATTCAGCGTAGAGTGGAAAACGACTGCTCCCGCTTGGCTAATTTTATTTCGAATGGAAACGTATAGACAGTTTATATTCTCCCTCTTTTGGAAACCCGCCTCTGACAGGCTAGTGCCTATAGTCGGCCTTATGGTAAATCCGGGCCTGAAAATACACGAAGCGGAGTATAGCCCGACACAAGCCATAGGTGGCTCTCCGAATGATTGTAATATCGCAATATAAGCAAGGAGCAAATACTTTCTACAGATATCAAAAAACCTACCATATTACAATTGAATAACTGAAATGGAATGTCATTACATTCTCCATGAGAGCCTTCTTAATATTGAGTACATTTAAGTTCATTATTTTTCTTGCGAGACCAAGACCAAGACTCTTTGGAGAGAGTGTTGGTCGTGGTCTTGGGAAGATTTATCAAGTCTTGGTCTTGGTCTTGTTAAGACTGGACTCTTGGTCTCGCGAAGCCTTAAGAACGAGGCAAACTACTTTTCATAAGTAATTTAACCGAACTCAATCTAAATGAACCTTCTTCCTGGAGATAATTTGTTTCGAAAAATAACTTGAGCTGTACCATTTTCCTATTTCTTCAAATTCATTTCTATTATAGAATAATTGCCTCTCGCTATCGTTGTCAGTGTCGATATGTACGCGTGAGAATTTATATATCTATTCAGAGAGCCACCGGTGCTGGTGATGTTCGGGTATTCTCATTCCTGAACATTCCAAGACGGCGATACTCTTGTACATTTTGCTAATCCTTCATAGCCAACGCCTCCAAAAAAACCACCGCGTCGCAACATATCGGTTTCTCCGACGCACATCCAGCCCATGTCGATGTCAGTCGATGGCGTCAGCAATAGCGCCTACGAGTACCTCTTCCTGGCACACAGTGGCACCAGGAGCCAAGGTAACCTCAACGACTTCAACAAAGAGAATAGAAGAGAACGCTTGAGCCACGGCAGGAGCATGGACCAGTACGTCGAGATGAACGTATTCAACATTGCCTTGGACGATGAGCCAGAAAGACCTAGGAGCGAGCTCCAAAGAGGCAAGAGTGAGGATCTAGATAGTAGGAAGAAAGAGCCTACGGCTATCTCGTCTATGTACGAGAACGTGATTATCAAACAGCAGAACCCGAGGAGAAAACTCAGGAGGAATCCTGAGGTGTACGAGGACTACGACTTCAGGAGGAAATGTAAGCAGGAACCGCTAGCTAGCTCCTCGGCTCCTGAAACTACCTTTGTCTCGAATGCGTTCATAATGATTTCGGATGATAACGGGGACAAATCCAATACCATAAAGAACGAAAAGAAACTTACTATTAATAATAGTTTTCCACTGTCACCTACTCATTACCTTCAACCTCCTACTCCTGACCATCCTCCACCCACTGCTGTGCAAGCTGAACATGTCATTTATGAGAAGATTCGGCCTCTTAGTCAGGTGAGCTCATGATAGCATGTTTGTATTTGGGTATCAGTATTATTTGTAGAGCACTGTGTAGCATGTATTTGTTGAATTGTATGTGCACTTTCCTGCATCAGTGTTTATTGTTTCCATTCGTACTACTCATTTTTTCGTAAATGTATTAACATCCGGTACTCATTTTGTGAGTTTGATGATCAAAGTCTTGAAAGACATTATCAGGGTAAATATTCATCATATAGTAATAGTACTCCAAGTCGTCTCCGCACTATATGAACTTCACTCCACTTTGAGACAACATGGACTTTTACAGTAGCTAAATATTCATGTTATGGCGTATAAGAATTTTTTGTAAATTTTTTCATCCGAGAAATTTTTCCATCAATTACTTCTGTAACGTAACGCCCAATTGAAAAAATCACGTAAACCTATCATCTCAAGAGATACTGTTGTGAAGAAATATATTTTGTCTATACAGTGTGGTCATTCGAGTGTGCAACATATGGGGATCTTTTTAATAAATTGCACAACCAAAATACTGATAGTGCCAAAAGTTGATGCATGTGTGGTAATCATTTTAGGTGCACTTAGAATGGTTGCAAATCACACAGCATACAGGGTAGGTCAAAAACTATAAAAAATGCTCGAGAGTAAAGTACCCTTATTTCAGAAAATTCAGCAGAATGTTGCTGAAAAAAGTTGTTTACAATTGAAAGTTATGCCTAAATACCAAAACATGGCCTCCTAAGTGATTTTTTAGTTTTTCAATTTTGTTCGTGAATAATTTCCCAATCTGTAATTTTTTTATATTCACCCTGAATACTCCCATGAGTTAATCATTACAAAATCAGTTGAGCATACCTTTGTTCAAATTCAAGCATATTTGTGCAATTAACTTAGATTTTAATTTTTTTAGGGAATCACTAACTTTAAAATTCCGCAAACCATATTTTCAACAAGGTAAAACGTCATTGATGATAATATGCATATTGAAAAACTTCCATTCAATGTGCACATTTTGTATTTGAAATATAAAAAATTGGGAAATTATTAACGAACAAAATTGAAAAACTAAAAAATGTCTTAGGAGGCCATGTTTTGGTATTTAGGCATAACTTTCAATTGTAAACAACTTTTCTAGATGACATTCTGCTGAATTTTCTGAAATAAGGGTACTTTACTCCTGATCAATTTTTATATTTTTTGACCTACCCTGTATGCTATGTGACTCGCAACCATTCTGAGTGCACCTTAAATGATTACCGAACATGCACCAACTTTTGGCACTATCTGTATTTTGGTTTTGCAATTCATTAAAAAGATTCCCATATTATTATGTTGCACACTTAAATGACCACACTGTATAATTCCATCATCTTGAATTTCAACATAAAATAGTTTCCGGGAAAAAATGGTGCTATCCCACCAATAATTATTATACTCTTGTATGGAGTATTCTGTTTATATAATGTTATTTTTATGTTATTTTTTGTTGATAATGAAATAAAGCTTTAATTGATTCACATTTTTTTTTCTTTATCAGATTGGATTCCTATAGAATGACATTTCTGGACCGCCAAAATGGGAATTATTAATGCATGCATTTGACAAGAGTATCAAAGATTTATTTATATGGTACCTATATTTCAAATGAAGGGACTTGGTGACTTAAATTCTCACCACAAGATATGAGTAGAAACTTTGAACAGACAACGTTATTGATCTATGGCTCATAATAAAATTGCGTGAAAAGTATTGAATGATAACAGAAAATGCCCAGTGGCTATTTGTGGCTGTGATGGTATGATAATGAACATTTTGCCACTGATATGATACTCAAACTGTCAAATATATAGATGAAGTCGGAAACTGCCGGCAAGCAGAATTTTCAGTGCGATTTGAAGAAAGATATTGTAGCCTGTCGACTAGCACACACAATGTCACTGATATCACAGTTGAGAGAATATTACATAAATATACCTGATATACGCGATGAATAATTAAGTTCTCAACTACACCACTTCTCTACTGCCTGCAGACTATATGTCTAAATCCTCCATCGTCTCTGAAATTTCCATTCTAACTGAGCATGCTGAAAGCGGATGAAAAATGAATGTGGAGTGGTCCAGTTGAATATCTGTTTGAATTGTAGTATAAACCTCCGATGAACTCAGGCTTTGATTCGCAAAAACCCTGGCAAACAGAAAGCGTCAGAGTGATGACACTTACCAAACAATTTATACAGGATGGATATGACAGTGAGATTTTTTTTAACCGGATATGTATCCCACCAAAATAAGTTCTTTGACGAAAAATTGCTCACATAAAATATTTTTTTCTGTGACGGGAAAAAAGTTTGGCATTTCATCCCTGTTGGCAGGTTATAAAATGTCACTTTTCATAAATTACTTTTTTCCCGTGGGCAAAAAGTGAGTACTTTTTTCCCGGATATATATCACATATATATACACTGTTGATGGTTTTTGTTGTGCTATAGTTTCGAGAAATGAGTCAATAATACCGTCTCCGAGAAAGAACTGCAAGTCCTTTTATCTTCCATTCGACTTCGCGGTTTCGTATATTACTAAACAACTACTGAATTCGCAATTTTTTAAAATCGAATCATAGAATTGAACTGACAGAAGTGACATCAGATATTTGATTACTTCAAAAGAATGATAAAGATGCCTATAAAACGCAGGTGTCCCTACTGTTAAAAACTTGAAATTTCACGTCGATAATTTTCAGATTTCGAAATAATGTAATATCTTCTCAATATTGATTCGTCCTTCCATCTGTCACAGAAAAAAATAGTGTATTATACACGGGAAAAATATTAGATTTTAGCTCACGGTTTTTTGTCTCCCTCCGCTACGCGTCGGGAGACAACACAACCTGGAGCTAAAATCTACTACTTTTTTCCCTTGTATAATAAATAACTATAAGATTACGGAGGTGAATGTATCTGAAAGTTCAGAGAAGACTTCATTTATAAAACATTTTGTTCTCATTTTTTCAAAAAAAAAAACGCGGAAAAGCCGTTATTAATTTAGCATTAGATATACCATATAGTTGCATTTTAGAGGGCCAGGTAGCCGTGTGGACAGAGTGTCTATATTCTAATCCGCATTCGCTTGCCGATCGTGGGTTCGATTCCCATCGACTGCAGAAATTTTTCTGATGGCCCAAGAAAGTGTTTGGGATCTTACGTTAAAAGGTAAGGCCCCCGTCATTCCTTGCTCGCACAACACTCTCGAAGACTTCTGATGGTTGCTCGTAAGGGGGCAACCCAATGACGGATAGAACAATTTTAGAACGGATAGAACAATTATTTCACCAGAAAAATAAATCAAAAACCTCTTTTTACATTTTCAACTTTTTAATTCTCGTTTCGAAGTGAATCATAAAACTTCAGGAGGGAAATGGACCATTAGGCCAAACAAATCAGTTTGACGTGATATATTGTATATAATCTGTTAGTTAAAAAACCTCACATCCAGTTCCACCCTGTATACAGAGACCTAAAAATAATTCAGAAACAATTATATTATTATAGAACATTTTCTCCCGCGTTATTTCCGATGATAATCTGATAAATAGGTATATTGGGAGTATGACGAACCCTACGAGATCTTCTGTTCCCTACTTCATCTTGTAAATTCAATCAATCTTGATCGAATTTGTTCTAGTGATTCAGGTTCATTTCGTTCTTGAAAGAATACTAGCTCCTCACGATGATCCTTTCGGACTTCTGAGTCTTGCTCAGTTCGAGCTTCGGAAACTTCTTTATTACATTCGCTCATCATACTAACATCTCCTCTAGGAGCTAAGTAGTTTATCGAAACAGCTCTTATGACGCACTTTAGAATACTCAGGATTTATCTCTATCAGTTCGGCTTCTCTTATCATCGGATCATATTCACTATGCCGTAAGTACAGAGTTTTTCAAGCCTACAGTTTTAGAAGGCGGTAAACAGAAAGAAAGCACAATGTGGTTCCATAAGTCGATCTCCACTGCTGACTGAACATTCGTTCATGGAGAGTAGGAACACTTTATTGAAGTATAAAAAAGTGATCTGATTGAATGTGAGACGTCAGTAAGAACGAGTTTCCACCGAGTAGTTTTCAAACCTCTAGTCTTTAGAGCGAGTGTGATTGTTTTCCATATGAGCGCTTTACTTGACCGTTTTTCTTCCGATTTATATAAATGGAATAGCCGGCTTGACTCGCGGCTTGATGATATTCCTCGAGACTGTAGATGAGTGATCAGTTCACGTGACATAAAGGACGATCCTCGATCGGAGTGAATGTTAGCAGGCATTCCAAAAATGAAGACTTGGATCAGAGCAGATATGTCAGTTGAAAAACTAACATCTGAACAAGGAATAACAAATGGGAAACGAGAACAGTCATCTACAATACATAATAGTTATTTATGTATCAAGGGCTTAAAGTTGAGGCTTTTATAGTCTGCTTCGTGTGAGTAAGTATAAACACGCCTAGTTCCATGAAAGCAAGTTGCGCCAGAAATACAAACAACACTTTATGCACGACCGGTATAATTGATTCATCAGTGTGAATACCTCTTCACATCTCATAAACATGGAAGTACATCATGACTGCAGTGGGGAATATCATTGATAGAATCGACGTTACCATGGTAACTAAGTGAATTTTTTGAAATAGGAGTAGACACATACAGGGTGTCCGGAAATGTCTGTGACACAGAGCTACCATGTGTTAGTCAAAATAGGTTGATTGGACCCAATTTATTCATACAACACAATGTACCGTTTTTCCTTGAGACGAGTTTGAAGTTTACATAAAAAAACACATTTCTGTACACTGTTCGAGAATGAGTGAAACAAATTTGATAAATGTTTGTTTCCAGTGCCAAATGATTTTGTATTAGAATTTCATCAAACTTTCACTAGGAATATCTGAAAGCATTATTTAAGAAAATATTTGTTTCCTTTGAAATTATGCGGAATACGAGAACTTCTCAGGAGTAACAAATT